CAGAAAGGGAACATACATTACAGCAGTTTATAAGTCCCCTTATTGGCTTCCTTCAACTTGTAGAATTTATTTCAAAATGCTGTAATCCTTCATGGAGCTTATTCTAAATAGTCTCCTACAGGGCCGGCCTGTGGCAAAGGCGGAATAGGCAAATGGTAGGGGCACCGCCCATCCATAGGGGTGGCCAAATTATATTTTGTAAAGCTTTTTTTTTTTAACTAATACTATTTAAATACTATTAATTCAAAATATTGCAAAAAAGAAAAAAATCTACATTGCTTGGGGACATGACTCACCCCAGTCCGATTCATCAAGCAAGTAATGAAAGCTATCAAGTTAAGGTTAAGGCCAGTTATTTTTACCCTAAAATAGCAACATTTTATGTAAAATTCACTTTATGCTATTTGAGTTCAGGCTATAGTATGGCTTAGGAGCTATATTTGTATGTATTTCACCATCATCAGTTTTTTTTTAAATATAATATAATGTAACACCCAATGGTCTTTCATTCTCCAGTATATATGCAGTTTCTGTGTGTGTGTGATCACAATGATCAGTGGCTGGTGCAAGGGACACCAGGTAAAACCAGGGCCAGACCTGGTCTACTAACACTGGGATCGTTATTTTGTTTTATGGGGATCCAACGTTCAGTGTCTATGGTTCTCTTGCAGAAGAGTTTTCCAAAAGAGCTCATGCTGTTACAACCATTAAAAAAACATCTTTATTTATTTTATTAGAAAATGCATTTTCACTAGTGGCTTTATTCAAAATTTTCACTTTGATTTTGCTTGCAATCTGCATTTCTGCTTACCATTTTATTTGAAATGGAAAGCAATTGCTAGGAAGAAGAAAAAAAAAAACAGTCTAAGGATAATCAGTTCTACAAAACACAAAAGCAACTTCCAATGCAAACGAACACCTTTTATCTTTTCCTGCAATGCGTAGAATTATTGCACCATCAAACTCACTATCCGACCAGTGGGTTCAAGGGCCACACATCATGAAGGTTTCAATGACTCAGGATCCAGTTTCTTTGATTTCAAAGTGATTCACAGCGGAGCCACTGTCTCCGAAAACAATACACCCCCTCCCAAGCACCTTTTAAAAGTCCACAGGGAAAGAGGAGCCATTTCATGCCTGATCCTCTAATGAGGCATGAGGGAGCTGCGCTCCTTATCGAGGGTTTGCACGCAGCCCCCTGAGGTCTGTGGTGCTACCGAGGAGCCCTGAGAGCTCTTACAAACAGCTAGTTCTCCAGTCTGGGGTTGAGGCAGATTAGTTGGAGGGGGTGAGGTGGGTGCGAGATACCATTCTCTCCTCTGCACACAAGCGGACAGGGATTAGCACCTGTTTGCGTGCCCTTGCCAAAGGGAGCTTCTTTAGTTTGAGAGCAAGGGAGAAGTCTGAGACTGCCTTTGATGTGTTCTCGTTTTTAATTGACTTGTCGGCAGTGCTTGCCTTTGCTCTCTCCATGTTTTTGTTTTATATTGCTTGGACTATTTCTTTAGAGACAAGACACTAGAAGAATAATTCTATCAAAACTAATTTTAGAGTTTGGGGTCAGTAGGATTTTTATTAGTCAATCATTTTATTCAGCAAGGATGCTTTAAATTGATCAAAAGTGACAGTAAAGACATAGTTACAAAAGTTCATCAAAGACTTTCATGAACTTATCATGATTTCCACAAAAATATTAAGCAGAACAACTGTTTTCAACATTGAAAACATTAAGAAATTATTCTTGAGCACCAAATCAGCAAATTAGAATGATTTCTGAAGAATCAGGTGACAGTGAAGACTAGAGTAATGACTATTGAAAATCATAGCTTTGCCATCACAGGAATAAATTACATTTTAAAATATATTTAAAATACTCTTATTTAAATCTGACCCCAAACTAACTTTTGAACTAGTGTGTATATTAGTACATAGGCCTATTGATCTCTGAATGGAAACGCTTTCAGAAACATGTCCAATTTAAATCTCTCTTGGGTGGACAGGTCTAAATACAGTGTAAACGGTGTCCAAAACATTACCACTACTGCATCCCATACAACACAGTTGTGCTAAAACAGGTAAGGCTTTGCAGCCATCAAATAAAACAAATATATGATTGAAAAATATGCACAGAACTTCTCGGATTTGCCTATAATCTACACAGATACTTTGATTTGTATCAGCCTGATGAAATCAGGCTCATGAAATTTCCTTTTTTCTAATGACTGTTGGTGATCATGTAAGCATCTTATTCACAATATCCATTTTTTATTATATTCTAATAATAATAATACTAATTTACTGTTATAACATTTATATTATTATTATTATAATTATTATTATATCCATCCATTCGCTAGCCCACTTATCCTCTGTAACAAAATTGTTAGTATACTATACAGACAAATTTAACTTTAATCCAACAAAATTGGAAAATCGCGTAATTTTGAGAACTCAAAATCACTTTCTGGGATGTTGTCACTTTCTGGGATATTGCAGCAGAATATCTGTAATAAAAATGAAAGTTGCAGCAATCGGGTAAGCAACTGTGGCTCTTTTTTTTCATACATTATAAATGACTTGCATTTAGACCACACCAACAAAACCCAATAAACGCTGTCATGTTATCTTGTGTTCCGATGCCTGGTGTTTGGGAATGCAATCATGTTAGACTTCTGGGAGGTCATTATACCAAATTATTACACGGGTCTGTGGAATACTTGATTCTGATTGGTCAATACCGCCATCCAGCGTTAAGTTATACCCAGATAACAAACGCTCAAAACAGATAACGCAGGCTCATCCGGGTCACTGAAGTCAGCAGTGCTATACGCTTGCTAGGAACGTTTTTTTTTTCCGTGGAAGTTTTGCGTTTGGTGAGCTAATAAAATATTAAAACTCTGCCGAATCAATATTTTGTGTACAGTTATTTAATTATGCCATCCAGTATCGTGGACTCGCTCTCTCTTGTTTCATACAAACGCTGCTGCCATTTTGTGACTATTGTTTTGTACACTGTTGGATTATGAGATACAAACAGGTACGATTTTAAAACAGTTTAATTTGAAATTAATATCTTATCCCCATAATTATTTATGTGGCGAAATGCTGTGTAATAAGTGGTATGAATGACTGTATACCGTATCTCTTAAATGTGCGTTTAGTTTGAACCTGCCGCGCTGCAATTGCTCTCTCTGTGGAAGCTTTGCGTTTAAAGACCTAATAAAATATTTCAACTCAGATCAATATTTCGTGTCTAATTATTTACTTATGTGGCAAGTAGCCGTGTAATAAGCGGGATAATGTACATCCTGTCGGGGGTTATTTTGAGAGAACCACGGGCTGGATGTACATTATCCCTTACCCATTCCGGTTCAGGTATTTCAGAATGATCAAACCAACATTTGAGATGCTATGCAATGAAATTTGCCCACTGGTTAGTCCAGTTTTCCAATCACATTGACTGTCGAGGTAAAGTCATGTGAGTTTTTTTTTGTTGCGCATCGAGGTATTTATTTGGTAAATGGTTTTCCGTTGTAGTTTATGCACGTAAAAAAAAAAAAAAAAAAAAAAAAAAAAAAAAAAAAATATCCGCCTCAATTAAACCAACCCGTTCTCATTAGATGCGTCTAAAAACTCATTTTAGCGTATAAATTGCACGATAAACACAATGCATGCTATAGAGACGCATTTCTTGAGATCAGGCTGATTGAACACGTTTGCTTTTTATGTGCATTTTTTTAATTTTTGCGCATCTTGGCATTTCCATCCAGTGTTTTTTATGCGATATCCCAAAATGTGTATTAAAATAGGTGGATGGAAACATAGCTACTGAGTCTCACACAGAGACAGAGGTTGCCCCCACCGCTTCACGCTAAAGATAATAAATACATCACTATATCACAGCAGAAGATCACTGTCCTACCAGCGGACAAAACACAGCAAGCGTCCACCTACAATGCAAGCATCACACCTAACCCCTCATTAGCCCACTAGAATACTAGGTGACAGTGCTTAAGAGAGCAACATGTTTAAACAACCTCTCATTTTACCAAGTGTGGGACTTCACTCCTCAGCTTTTATTGTTCTACATGTTTATGAGCCAAAATTGGATATCAAGTTGGTTGCAGTCCCAGGTTTTTATTTTAAAGTGTTTGCTCTACATAGTGTCTGACCATGTTTGTTTTTTTCTGCAGTACCAAAGTTGATATATATTTTTAGCATTCTACATCAATAGCGATCCAGCAGCCTCAATAGCTTTGGGTCGGGAACAAGGTGGCACACTGTAGTGTGGAATTATTACCTAAAAACCAGTGACGAGAGAGACAAATTCACACAGGCTCTATTGCTTATCCCACCGACACACATCATTGTACGCCACTTTGCCATGAGTCCCAAAGGGGCAGATTTACAGCTGTAGAGGCGATGCTTCCCCCTCCAGCTGCTGGGCCAGCATGGCTCCGCAGGGAAAGGGATACAATGTAATCAGTCGAACAAAACCGAGCTCTGGCCTGAACCATGGAGGATCAACCGAAAAGCAGCAGGGGCCCACTCACCTACCACTAGCTCAAATCTCCTCTCTGATGGGCGCATCCAGAGAAATCTCAGAGGATAAAAGAGATGTTTGATTCCAAAGATAAAACCCAAGAAGGCAGAACTAAAGGAAGGCTTAGGGTTATGGAGGCCCATGGGGTAGATCCCTAGGGTACGTCTCCTCCATATTTGAGACAGCCAGGGAAGATTATGAGCATGTCAGAGCTATTTACTCATCCTGTGTGGTTTAAAGGTAAGAGGAAAAAAAGGAGAGCAACAACAGAAGAAGAGACACCCTGGCCATATGGATCGCAGCTCTTCGGTAGGATTATTGATCTTCACACACAAGCTAATTGGTCAGTCAGTGTTGGCAAAGTGCCCATGAAACATAGTTTTTGCTCTTCCGTTTGTTAAAGTTTGGTGTGTGAACACATATCAGCGTGAGTAGAGCTTTGGAATGATGAGTCTACCTGAGTGGACAGACTGGAGCCATCAACTACAGTAACTGTGTTAGCACAGCTAGCCCAGACCGAGTCCTCCAAAGCAAGAAGCGTCCTGATGGGATCTGAACCAACTGTTACTTTTCTACAGGAGTCTTGGCTCCACAGTTCCCCTACAAAACAGAAACACAAAAAAAACACCATTTCAATTTTCCAATTTGCATCTATCAAACATTATTGGACTTTTCTTAAAATAAGGGGCACGTTTAGATTCTTAAAACAAACTTTATACTAGTTTTTACTTAAGAATTGGGTCTTTTTTTCTTCTTTTTTTAGCACAGTGTCATTTCCACAATTTCTCTAATTATTTATTGCGTTTAATTGCATTTTGTGGTGGAAATGACAATGATAGTAATGAACTGCTAATAGTTATTTCATAGCTAGGATTTAATGTAGTCTAAATATATTTTAGACCTATGCATAATCTGACCAAAATTACAACTTTATTTGGAAATCACACACAATAAAAACATTCAGCTCATAAGTGATATTTACCTCAGTTTTTCCATTACATGGCATAACTTATATCAAGCTTACACTGCTATGTCCTTGTTAAAAAGTATGCAAACTAATCATTTTTTAATTAAATCAATTAAAAAGAACATTCTCAAATAATAAATAAAAAAGTGGTGTATGTTTGTTTTGATCGCCATCAGCTTTAAAAATGTAATACCCAGAAAATACCCAACAATATTTCCTCTTGTATATTCTGTAAGTTTTATGAAACAGAAAAGAGAGAAACGAGGTAAAAGTATACGGGTAGCATACAATGAGGCCTGTGAAATACCTTGCTTGAGGGCAAATCGCTAATCCTATCTGGTGGAACATTTCAAATATGGCCAAAGATAGTCAATGCTAGTAAATTCGCATGTTATTTCCCTTAAAAAAAAAAGAATGCTTCAAATAGCAGAGCTACAAAAATGTGCTGCATGCTAATTCCACTGCTTTAGCCCCGAGCAAGTCACTTAAAGTAAATTGGTTTCATTAATACTCAAGAGTAAATCCTTGTGTTTTCAAGACAATTATGTATAACTGGTGGTGGAACTGTATAATTTGTGGCTATGCCTTAAAAACATACAGCTAGAGTAAGCACTGCAAAGTGTGTTTGTGGACTGCATATCTCCCTCAAAAAAACTAGCGCTTTCTATGCTAATGCGCTAACAGTGCCATGTTAATAACTGCGGCGTGTTGTGTAATCCAATTTATACGTTTCTCTCCAGTGTGCTCAGAACACGCCAGACTTTTTCCTCGAGTTTTAATCACAGGGTTTGCGCCGTAGCCACCATGGACACCATTATGGGATGCATTACATAAGCTTTTTTCTTCGTCTTTTTCGCCCCCCATCACAGTGTGTTAATGAAGCAAAATTGGAGAGGGAAGCGCAGCGAGCCATTTAATTAACATTTCGAGTTGTTTATTTCTGCCTTTGAAACCAGAATAGCTTTACAATGACTTCTGACTTCCTCAGGTTAATTGCATGGCATATTCAAAATGTCAGTCTTCCTACTTTTTTCGTGCATTTGCTTTGAAAACATCCCCTCAGCCACTCTGTACCCCTTAATTCTCAAATAAAGGCCGGCTTAGATTTGCTTCTTTCAGAGACAAGGACCTTCAGGGGCGGAGAGGACTTATCTGGACACTCAAAGCATCTGCAGATGCAGTCTTTATTGTTCCAAAAGTAATAAACTGGAAGGGGGAGAGATGCTGTTTCATTCAGATGGGCCCTTATTGCTTCTGGGTATAATATATTTACGTATTTTCTTCGGAAAGTTAGACGCCTCATTATTATCCTTATAAATTCTGTGCACTGTTGATTAAACACAACAAAATGATCCTACCCTCTTAATGTATCTAGGAAAAAAGGGGGAAAAACAAGAAATCTCCCCCCCCGAGCAATTTTGGCTTGCTCATACGTTTCAAAAAGCTTTCTGATTAATCTCATGCGAGACTCCAGTGTTTATTACAGTGTTTTGAGGGCAATTGCTCCTCAGAGTAATATGAAGGATATTTTTTGCTAATATATAAAATAATATTTTATATTATAATATTTTATTTTTATTTTTATTTATAATATATATATATATCCTGCCTGTACTTCCCTGGGAATATGCATTTGTTTGTCATTTATTTCCTTCCAGTATAATAGCAATATTCAATCGCCACACTGCACATCAGCATAATTAATCTTACTTTCCACTTCATTGGAGGTAATTCCTTGTTGACAGTCAGGTAAGTAGTGCAATGTGATAAACCCATTGTGCCAGGGCTGTCTGCCTTGCACCACCCCCAACATACACGTAGACACACAGCGCAGTCGCTCGCTATCTATCATGTCTCCGAATGCAAGAGTTCTGCATGCCCGCCCGTCTCATGTTGTCATTAGCCCACACTTACTTACTGCAAATGAATAAGGCGCAGACGCGGACAGAGGACAGACTTGTGAAATCATAAATTGCTTTCAAGGTAATCCCGAATCCATTGGCTTTCTATCTAACTAATACATACCCAGAACAATCTTATCACCCCTGTCTCATCTCTGAATGCATTCAGAATACATGACAGAACTAATATCTTTCACAAACTCACTGAGGCATTCAGTTTCAACAGAGAAGGGACCGAAAAAAACATCCTTGAATGTTTGAATAGAAGGTTGATGAAAGAGCAAATTGAACACGGGGACAATCAGATTCATTTGTACTATTAATTTGATTTGATTACCCTTTCACTCTATTGAGTCCCTTTCATTTGGGGACATACTAATAATTACCACTCTTAATTATCCCACCCATTTAGTGTTTAATCCCATTAGTGAGAAAAAGAAAACAGAAAACATACTGAATGCAACTGTCCATTTCTGTGCTAATGTGATAAAGAGAAAAACAGGCCTAATAGGATAGAAATAACATAGATGTTTAAAACCAAAAACCTAAACGAACAGCGGCAGTGTATGCAGAGTAAATGAGCTTTGTTTAGAATAATACATAAAAGCAAAAGAGAAACAACTATATAAATCCTCACGCAAGTGATAAGCCCTTAAATTAACCAGAATATATCGCAACTTATGAGTTTTGTTCACATATGCACAGTCATAATTATCAGTGGGAAACTCTCTGATATCCAAATTGGGACATTGGAATGGGCCTGGCCACATAAAAAACAAGGTAAAAGCAACAATAAAAGTGAGCCAAGAGTAAAAAATAAAATAAAAAATTAAATTTGTTTATTTACAAAATATATATTTTTGGTTTGGCTACTTTAGTATTTCATTTCCAACTGGAATTCATGACAACTTGGAACTAACTCGTAAGTAAGAGCTTTTCAAGTGCACGTGACGGCAACATGAGTGTAGGATGTGAAAGAAAGCATGGCAAACTCCATATCAGTATAATGAGACATCAAGCATTATGTAACTCGTACCTCTGTGATGTCTCCCGTAAACCATCAGCGTTCCATCCCGCAGGCCAGCGAACAGGAAGTTACCGGAATGTTTGAGACACAGAACTGGACAGCCCTCGGGGTTAGAGAGAGTTAGGAGACACTGGGCGGCTGTGTCCATACTGCCATAGAGCAGGATGCTTTGGGAGAAAAACAATGAAGAATATACAAGGACATCTATGTGGAAAGAAGTATAGTATTAAAAGAAAGAAAAGAAAGAATTTCCACTGTGCATTTGCCTTGATATTGTGTAAGGATATTCTAAAAGGAAATGTGCCATTTCAGGAAATTTGTCCACTGTATAGCTAATCAGTCCCTTTCATTTGCTTAAAGAATCTCTCAGAATATGTATTGTTCTTCTCAGCCTTCATAAATGATTGAACTTAGTGAGAAAAATCACAGTGATTTTAAAACTTTTTCAGTCACTAAAGCTCATGCTAAACTCGTTTTAGCCTGCTGAGCATAGTTGTCACCTGTTTCTTATCTATGTACACTGCAATGTCAGTAATGACACCATAAATCTGATTGAAATGATTTTACCTCTCTCACTTCCTCTATTGCTAGACATGTGCTTAAAACAAACAGCTATAAGGCTATTGGTCTTGGCTAGCGCTTGGTTCTCACACACTGCAGACTGAGCTGACAGGAAAATAAGGCAGCATTGATGTTGCATTTCATTTACATAGAACCAAAGCAGCATCAATATCTTTGATTTTACAAGCTTAGGTGGGTTTAGTTTCCTTGGAACAATCTTAACTTGGCTGTGAAAAGATGCCTTTAGATATTTAACAGGGTATCTGCAGGGTTTTTAAAATCCTATTTTAAGACTTCTCAAGATGTTCTTTAAAACCAGTACAAATACAATTTATACCATATGGCTGGGGTAGAGCATCGTCTATGGTAACATCCAAACCATACACTGTAAAAACGATGATTTAAATGACTTTACAGTTCAAATAATACAGGTTTTGACAAAAATAATAGTTTTTTTTTTCAAATAACAAACCTCACATTTCACCCTTTAACCCATTTTTTAAAGAAAAGGGATAATAAGGGATAAGTCCAAATAAATATAATCAATTAATATAATAGACAATTACTTTTATATTTATATTATTTCATTCAAATAAATTATTAACTTAATAAATATTAACATACACATGAAGCCATATTGAGAGTTTTTCTGTCCAAAAATTTGAGAAGAGTTTTCTTACATCATTTAAGATATTTAAGAATTTTATGCAACTGAATCTAAGACTTTTTAAGGAACCATGGGGGTCCTGATTTAACAGGTACATTTTTAATATTTTTAACTGGGAGACATTATACACATTTTTATGAAACACAGTCTTACCTGCCATCATCAAGTCCTACACAGATAGTATTTCCAACTCCAGTGGAGTTATGAGGGCCGGTTTCAGCATCCTCTGAAGGGGTGGGCTCAGGCACATACTCCAGACACATCACTCGAGCGCCCATCTGGAGGGATTTTACAGGCCGAGGCGTGGGTCTGTTCAAGGAGAAAATGTCCACCTGGCCTTGAGAGGAATCACCTCCACTGGCTACCTGCAAAAACAGCAAGGACACCACCATTATAGGTAGTCATCCAACCAAAACCACTCACAAATCCATGACTGTATAGGTAGGGAAAGAAAATAACAGAGGAAGGAAAGTGTCTTTCTGCCATTTTCAACCACTCCCTCAGCTTTGTGTTTTCACTTCCAGAGCCGAGGAACAGAGAAAATTTCAAACAGCAGAAAACTTTTGCACTTCCTGTGTACTTTAAAGCTTCCCAGCCCTGTTATTTTATTCTTGTCAATTTCAATTTCACGGTAACGTCAAAGTTAAAATCTCATAAAATTCAAACTCATAGTCTTTCGCCTGATAAAGTCTCTAAAATTCATACGCTATCACCCATAATGCATTCTCAGTGAGACAACTTCAAACATCTTTTTTTGTAACTCCAGGGATCTTTTCATCGCTGAAGCAGAGGAAAAGGTGGGGTGGAGAGATGTCTTTTGAAAGCTGCTGAGCTGTTTGACAATGGAGGGTTTCCTTTGGGCTGATGATTGATCGCCTTCTTAAGACAGAGACTGAGATGACAAACTCGATCCTTGGTGAAATTACATGTAGTTGACAGAATAAGACTTCAGCACAGTGCTGCTCATAAATCCATCCTCTGGTGCTTTTCCTCAACAATTGATCTAGGTTCTGCACCCATCCATTTTCCTACTGAGTTGCTTTAAAATGCAGACTCTTGTAACACATTTGGATTGCATTGCATCATAAATTAATAATCCCCCTCCATGAAAAATAGTGTTTGTCTTCGCCCCCTGCACGGCCGCTCACACTCTCTTATGGTTACTTGTTCATGCATAATGCAAGGGAAGCAACCCGCTCGCTATTAGAAATTAAACGAACTGATCAGCGTCCCATCATGCCCGCCACATAAATTGGCTCATCTCTCCTTGTGCGGCACTAAACTGCTCCAATTACAAAATCCATACAAAAAAGCCTTCGAGAGGTGGTTTAACCGAGGGAGATAAAGGCGAAGAGTATTACAGCGAGTCTGCTGGCCTTATTATAAATAGCCCTTGTTTAGGGGCCATCATTTATGATTACCTCAGGACACTGAGCCCAGTCACTGGCCGATTGGAGAGTAATCCCAACCAAAAAAATAAAAAATAGAAGGAAAACAACGGCAGAGTGGGAGGGATGCTGCCGGACAGCAGAGATTAATTCTCATTCTCAGTCATGTTATGTGAGCAAAATGGCCAGGCTAAATATAGTCTTTAACCTTACAGTTCCCCTCTAATTTGCATGCAATCATTTGTCTGATTTGTATCACAGTGTAGAATCTGGACGGCCAAGGTCTCGTGGGCCGGGAAGAGAAAGGCAGAGCAAATATCAGCCTGTTAAGGCAACGCAGTGGGAGATAGGGAGGACTTATCTTCAGGCAAGAGGAACAGAAAATGTTTTGCTTCCGCAACCTCCAGCGGGCCCTCGTTCTCCTGCTTTCTCACACAGGGGCAAATCCATGTGGCTGAACACGACGATGATATACCTCTGGTCTCCACTTTTAATTCTATTCCTCCACAGACTAGGTGGAATTACAGCTCCCTGACAAACTCATCAGTACTTGTTTGGAGGAGTAGATATCTGGATTCATGCCCTGGACGCATCCCTGTTTTTTTGGCCGGAAAGCCATGAAAACCAGCCTTAGAGCCAAAGCTCTGGACAACAGAGCATTAATTAGGCTAAAATTGACTAAGAGCCTAAAGGGAGCAAAGATAGCCTGGGGAGAAAGACTTCATCTGTCTATTTGTACATACTGGGAAAATTTAAACATTTGTCTTTGACAACCTTTACGAAGTGTTTTAGATTTGTTTGGCTTTACAGATGACAATTAAAGGATGGCAAACAGTGAAAATAATGCTGTATGCAGCATTTAGAATTGAATCATTATGCATTTTAAATTCCAGTCCAATTCTTGATGTATAATTAGAATTTAAGGGAGTAGAATTAAAAAAAGGACAAAATTCATACAAGTCTAATAATTGTAATAACTCATTACATCTTATCATTATACACATCTTGTGTATAGATCAACATACAGTATATGTATATACAGAGCAACTACTTACTTTGGTCATTATTAACCAACTAACTATATGAATAAAATCACAGGAAGTACACTGTGAACACAAGCTAAAATCAATAGCTGAGCCTCAGCTAGAGGTGAAGAGGCTAAGAAGAGTGAATTTAGTTGCATTCACACTACAAGCGACAAAGAGAGACGATCCCATTCATTTCAATGGAGAGTGGGTGATTTCCGGCAACACGAGAGACAGCGACCATTGGAGACCGAATGGGGCTTGTACAGCGGCGCGACAGAGTTGAGATATGTTCAACTTTATGCAAACGAAGAACGACTTTCGTGAGCAACAACCATAAGGAGTAAAGTCAGTGGAGCGCATGTGATCCGTCGCTCTTTAGTGCCGAGGCAAGATGAAGGAGAAGCTCATTTTAGCTGTCAGCAACTGTCCTATAAGTTATGATGAGTTTACAAATGTTGCATAATAGCACATTTTAACACACTTAATGAGAAACACTGCCAGCCCCATTGAGACTAAATGGATGCACTGAGATATATTAAGAAAACTGACCCCTGCGCTTTAAGCTACAGAGTGAGATTTGAATTCAGGATCAGATGTCGACAAAATTATATTTTGGATATGCAATACTAAGGATTTATGATATGTCTCCATGTACATACAATGGTACTCGCCGTGCTGACTCCAAGCCTGAATGGTTTCGTGAACCCAGATAGACCGGCATTTGCCCTTTTGCGGCAGATAAATAGCCAAAATCTCATTCATCTTAATATTAGGCATTTTATGTACTGATTCCATTTGTATTAAGACTTTTCCTTCCAAAATGTTTATTTGTAGTGGCGAGAAGTAATTCGATGTCTACAACTTGGAGTAACATCCGTGAATGTCATTCACAAACGTTACTAGGCAACCAGTAGTGGGAACGCCCACTAGCAACCTCACGGCCAGCCACTGGCGACATGCCGCGCCAAAGTCGCTGTAGTGTGAACGCAGCATTTGGCGGATGACTGGCTGGCTTATTGTCTTGAACTGATTAGAAACAATGTTATTATTTTGATCTAAGCAAAGAGAAAAATTCCAGCAGCCCATCGTAGAGTGATCTGATTACTGTCACTGCTCATTTGGAACACTAGCAGTGAAAACTGCCTGTTATGATGATGATTATTTAATATCAGTGACTTATAAGTTTGGAAGTAGCAAACGACTGAATCATTTCCTCTCTCAGTCCAGTCGAGTTCACCGAGAAATGACACCCGCTATAAGCCGAAGATGTGTTGATTGCTTTAGGGGTTTCTTTAACCCTACTATTGTACAGCAAGACTTTTGACTAGGATAAAGTCTGGTCCACATCGCAGCTTATTATATCAAAGAACTGCCAACAATCTTCGACTTTTGGGTGCAGCTAAATAGCTGCAACCATAATAATAAACCTGTGTGGAGTACAAAAGACTCCATAGAAAAAAACCTCACCTCAAAAAAACTCGGGACTTGGGATCTGATTTTCTATCCATCCTGATGATTTCACAGCCACAACTCAGAAAGCAAAGCAGACATATTAGCTTACTTGCTACTAAGTGCCTCAAACCCTAGTCTCTTTTCCACAGATTTGACATCTCTAACCACACAAACTTTAAATTTCATTACTATTCCTTATTACCCAAAAATATTACCATGCCCTGTTTGATTGCATTTGGTCTTGCAGTACGCAGTGGACCAAGCCTACCTCCATTTATATATCTGAACAAGAGGCAAAAATTAATAGCACAGCTGCAAAGCACAAAAAAATAAGTTTACAAATGTTGCATAATAGCACATTTTAACACACTTAATGAGAAACACTGCCAACCCCATTGAGACTAAATGGATGCACTGAGATATATTAAAAAACTGACCCCTGCGCTTTAAGCTACAGAGTGAGATTTGGATTCAGGATCAGATGTCGACAAAATTATATTTTGGATATGCAATACTAAGGATTTTTGGCACAGAAAAGAGAACCTAATCCAGCCAGATATAATTTCCCACTGAATGTCTCCCTGTATCTTTTAAATCCGCCCAAGTCCACCCTCAGTGCTCTTTAGAATACCCACAAAAACAATTAACTCAAAGACACAGGCAAGGGCGTCCTTTTGTGTCCAACCAAGGCTTGAATTGGATTTATCCCCCTGCTTTGGGGGATTATGTGATAAATTGCCCACTGCACCAGAGGAGGGAGGAGAACGAGACTACTGTGTGAAACTTTTAAAGGTGATTTCACAGGGCTTGTTATGAAAAGCTGTTTTATTTTGCAGAGGAAAGTTTCTTTTCAGAATACAAGTTACTTCCAATGTAACTTAATGGTGAATGAATGCTTGTCGTTGTGGTTTAATGGTGAGGAATAATAAAGATCAATAATTGCATTTAATCATTTAGCAGATAAAAAGCATCTGCTAAACGATCAAGTGTAAATGTAATTACAGTCTATTCAATCTCTGATGTCACCGGTTCACGGTTTATGATATGTATATTTTATGTGCTTGTGTTTCTACTTACCCAGAGGTAGCCTTGAGGAAGTGAAGTGCTCACCGCTGAAACACCAAGTAAAGCACACTGAACAGGATTATGAAGAGCAGCCTCCAGCTATAAAAAAAAAAAGAATATATAATATATATATATATATATATATATATAATTATTGCCTAATGAATAGACCTGAGAATTGTACATGCAATCAATAATATATAAAAAGAAGAATTTTTTTTTTTTAAAACAACAACATTTTTTTCAACAAAATTAGGTTACATTTATGCTTAAAACGAACATTTTTCTTCAATATTTAATATATTGTTTAAGTGAAACATGGTTCTAGCAATGCCAAGGTTACGAGGTTCTCGACTCCCAGGGAATGCATGACCTGAGAAGGTGCCAAGTAAGTCGTTTTCGATTAAACAGTCTGCCAAATGTCTAAATGTAAATGCTAAAAAAAAAACTAAAAAAAAAAACTTTTCTTCACAAGTAAATGTATCTCATTTTAAGACTGTTTAGATATTTTTTACAGGAAAACAAGAAAATATACTGATTAAGAAACTGATTTTATTAATACAATGAAGCAATGTGGCTCAGTTCAAATAGTGGGTGGCATATTTATGAAGACCATAATGTTGCGTGATATCACGCCATATTAACAGACCACAAACAGCTGCTGTTTGGGAATGTTTATATCTAATGTGAGAATGAAGGCTAGGAGAGATGGTAGAAAGCACGTCAAATTTAATTAGGGATTGGGGGGTTGTATCTTTGAGGACTAAATATCTTTCATTTTACCCCCATCAATCGTTAGCTACTTCCAACAGTCATTTCCCATTTTCCCCACTTACTCAAAGTGCAAATATAAACATGTCCAAAATAATGCTGGAAAACCAGTCAGTAAAGAGCTTGGAGAAAGAATCTCCTTTCTCCAAACCAGTCCATTATTGTTTCACAAGCACACCAAGATTCCTCTTGCATCTTTAAGGTTTATCCCATTTTTATATAATTCATCCAAATGCGGTGACAGAAAATGTCGAATTTGTAATTAAATGCCAGTCGTGGCAGGAGCACATATGGCAGCCTGCGGGCAGCAGAGCTCGGCTGGTGGAGGGAAGGGACAGACTGTGTCTTCTGAGTCACTTGAGAACACTGTTGCTCAGTGAGAAGCACAGGCAATCTTCACAGGTGGAGATTGCTTTGTCTTTGTCCATTCTCCGATGAATAGCAAGTGCATTTGCCTGAATATCTGCTTCAGCCGCAGTCCCCCGGGGTCTAAGACACATGCTACATGATTTCCCCAGAAACACTGGTTTCTGGGTTCTCAAACAGCAGTTTGCAAGACTACTGTCCAACTGCGGAGGTAATATACTGCTTCTGAAGACTGGAGTCTGGTCCATCCTGAATGCTTATTTTTATGTATGGAATTTCAAACATGCTTTGTGACCTGTGGCACTTCATAATAACCATTCAGAGAGTGGGTCTACGGATCTATGCTTATTATACAGTATGGGCAAATTTAAAGGTTCATTGCGCAACTTTTCATGTTAAAAATACCAGTTTTTCTATCCTATACATGCTTAAAGAACTGCCTGATGGGCTGAATGAGCCCTTCTCTGCGCACTGAGATTGCCTCTATAATCCTGTACAGTAAAATATATAAGAGGGATTCGGGCTCGAATTTGAGACTGGGCGTGACGACATGCGCGTTCACGCTCACCAGGCTATGTCTCGCAGGTTTGTGTATTCGCCGGCGCCGCCATTCTCCGCATCAGCGAAGACAACTCGTGCGTCAAAGGTAGAAGATGGATTCAAAGAGACCGGCTTGTAGTCCATTCTAAACCCCAACGCAAACTCCACGTAAAGTAAAGAAAAGAAAAATTTTGTCTACTGCCACCAAAAGGTCCAAATTGGAGTCAGACAGGCGTCGGAGTAAGACGAGAGTCAACCTCGGGAAGGCATTCAACAAATGGAGAGATCTCCGGTCTGCTCTTGTTCTCAAACGGGATCCTCAGTTGGCTTTTTTCTTGATAAAACGGTAAGATATAGCCCAGTCTCTAATGTTTGATACGGCCAATCTATGTATGACAACAAATGACGATGCGTAAATTTGTAATGCTTTAGCGTAAGCTAGATACATGTACAATCAGAATTGGTTGCAGTTTTGCTTGTCGCCAGAGGGGGCGTAGTTCTGAAAAAACGTCTCAGGTTACGTATGTAACCCTGGTTCCCTGATAGGGAACGAGACGCTGCGTTTGAGACCCGGTGGGACCGCTCTGCGTGATTGCGTCATGAAGCACGTGTAAAATCAGTCCAATGGAAACCCGATACGTCATAGGTGATGTCATATACCAGGAAACTATAAAGCACCCCTGAAAACAGACCGCGACAGCTTCTGAAAAGTCTGAAGCAAGTCGATCAGGGCATGCAGGAAGTATGGCAGACGAACGCAGCGTCCCGTTCCCTATCAGGGAACCAGGGTTACATACGTAACCTGAGACGTTCCCTTTCAAGGGAACTCGAGCTGCGTTTGAGACGCGGTGGGAACCCCATACCCACTATGCCATAGTGACAAATGCCCGTTCTGTGTGAAGTCCTGCGCACACTAAGAAGCAAGCAACCTCGCCCCTGGAGTGGAGAGGTCAAGGTCATAAAATCTGACTAATGTATGCGGAGAGGACCATCCTGCCACATTACAAATATCAGAAAGGGAAACACCCGAAATTAAGGCCGTAGAGACCGCCATACTCCTTGTAGAATGGGCCCGTACAGCCATAGGTGAAGGCTGACCGGCCGCTTCATAAGCCAATGATATAGCCTCAACTATCCATTTGCTCATCACCTGTTTAGATGCAGGGCACCCTCTCCTGAGTGACCCAAAGCAGACAAATAATTGTTCAGACTTGCGCCACAGGGCAGCCCTGTGAACGTAGGCATCTAATGGCCGAACTGGACATAACAGGTTCAGTTGTTCGTGATCTGGGGTATTAAAAGGTGGAGGATAAAAGGCCTGCAGCACTATTGGGCCCCCAACATTAACTGGAACCTTAGGAATATAACCCGGTCTAGGGTAGAGAAATGCCTTCACCATACCAGGTGCAAATTCCAAACATGGAGCAACCGACAGGGCATGCAAATCTCCAAATCTCTTGATAGATGAAATAGCAAGGAGAAATAAAGTTTAGAGTGAGGAATTCCTCTGAAACCTCTTCAATGGGCTCGAAAGGAGCCAAAGCCAGATCCTCAAGTACAATGGCCAAATCCCAAGCCGGTGCTCTAGAGTGCAGTGCAGGTCTCAACCTCAGTGTACCACGGAGAAAACGAGTAATAAGAGGATCTCTCCCGATAGAAGTACCCCCCCGAGGGGTGTGGTAGGCAGATATAGCCGCCACGTAAACCTCTGGTGTAGAAGGAGATGACCTAGCAGAGAAACGGTCTTGCAAGAAATCAAGAACTGAACCAACAGGGCAGTTAACAGGATCTAAATGACGTTCACCACACCAGGTGGAGAATCATTTCCATTTCAATGCATATAGTTTTCTCGTGGAAGGAGCTCTGGATTGGAGAATGGTCTCAACGACCTCAGTCGAGAGACCGGATTTTATGAGCCGGGCCCCCTCAGAGGCCGAGCCCACAGTATCCAAACTCCAAATGAGGGTGAACTCCCAGGAGCAAAGATATCGGGAAATGCGTACCGGTGTAGCGTCTACCACACATAATACCTTACATCCAGTCCAAGCGGAGCTGGATGTGTGAGGGAGAACCAAATATAGCAAAGCGTTGTACAAACGATGTGAAAGGTCGACTTGACTTTAGTTGACCAAAGTTCTCCCTAAGAAGCTCCACCACCTCGGGGTGAAGACTCCAATCCCTGGGCCTCAGCCCCTGCCTCAACAGGATATCTGCTCTGATATACGAGACCATCAGTGTGTTGTCCGCCATTCGCCGAGCGACCACTCATGATCGCCCCCACTTGTGAAGGAAGCATCCGTCGATAGCAATATGCGTCGACAAGAAGCCCCCAACACTGGGCCTGGGTGAGTAACCAATGTTCTTCCACATGACCGAGGCACGAAGGCATAGCCGCGTGACCTTGATCATGTGAAAACATATTTCCCTTCGGAGAAAACCCCTTGGTCCCGAGCCACCACTGCAGGGGTCTCATGTGCAGAAGGCCAAAAGTAATTACGTTGGACACAGCTGCCATGAGACCCACCAGTCTGAAACTGTTTCACAGTGAGTGACTGGCCTAGATATACCCCAATACTGCTGTGAGAATCGCTACACCTAGAAAAGTGGTCCTCAGAGCACACTTTTCTTGGCGTTGAGAGGCAACCCCAACATCCTTAATGAGACAGAACGACATCTCGATGCCGAACTGCCATAAACTCAGATTGAGCTAGGATCAACCAATCATTGATGTAGTATAATACGCGAATGCCCTGGAGTCTCAGAAGAGCCAGAGCTGCATCCACGCATACTGTAAAGGTGTGGGGTAATAAACCTAGGCCGAATGGAAGAACTCGATAATGGTATGCTTCGCCCCCGAAAGCAAACCTCGGGAACCTCCCTCATCCTCTTCCGGAAACAATGAAGTAATGGCTGTCTGCTGGGAGGAGGAACCCCTTCTACAGCTCCTTTTGCAGAAGTGACAGTACTTCCTGCTCCATAACCAAAGCCTGCTCGGGGTCCACCAATGAGAGGAGGACCCCTAGAAATCTGGGCGAACGAGAACCGAACTGAATTCTGAAACCCTTTTCTATAGTGTGCAGGACCCACTGAGAAATATGTGGCAGTAGTTTCCACGCTGCCGGAAATTTACTAGGGGAACCAGTCTCTCAAGACTGGCCTCTGGATTTGTTTGAACAGTCACTACGGCGCCCTGAAGCGGCGAACCGGCAGGGAACAACCAAACTGACCATTCTACGACCCTCCTCGGAGGATCGTATGGGGATGCTGACACCTCGGTGCCCTGAACGGCGAACCGGCAGGGAACAACCGAACTGGCAGCGCTGCGACCCTCCTCAGAGAGTTGCACCCCAGAGGGCGCAGAGGAAAAGCGATTTCTCAAAACCGTCCCTTGGTTGAACAGTCACTACGGTGCCCTGAAGCGG